CTAAATTAAAAATAAATAAATAATAATAATAATATATATATATATATATATATATATATATATATATATATATATATATATATGTGTGTGTGTGTGTATTTGACTTGCTCAAAACTCAAAAAAGTCATGGCGTAGTTCATTTATTAAAATTGAGATTTTATTGAAATAATCATATTTGCAAAATCCATTTAATCTATTGCTTAAAATTGGCATAAATCTGTTCATTTTGAAAACAATTACAGTTATTCAGTTAAAAAGTATGAACATGGTTAAAATGTGGAACATGCAATATGCGGTTAGTTCAAATGCATTTGAAGATTGAGATTGGATTTATTAATGATAAAAATCAATAAACCTGCTTATTGTGTATTTAAAACACGTTCTTTTTATTAGTGCTATTACAGAAATCTGACCGGTTTCATTCATGCATGACTGACAAATATGCATCACGTAAATGCAAATGGTTGAATCTTCAATTTAGGAATAAATATTGTTTTGAGTGTACTATGTCACCACATGTGTTTTTCTTCTTCTCTAAGGCTTTGTCAAACGTGCCGCCTCTGCGGAACTACTTCCTCGAGGAGGAGAACTATCGCAGAATCCGCCGGCCGCCGGGTGACATCATGTTTCTGTTGGTGCAGCGCTTTGGGGAGCTCATGCGCAAGCTCTGGAACCCGCGTAACTTCAAAGCCCACGTGTCGCCGCATGAAATGTTGCAGGCGGTGGTGTTATGCAGTAAAAAGACCTTTCAGATCACTAAACAAGGTGAATATTAGTGCACTGAATACTGTGTGTGCACTGCCAAATAGTTTTTCTTGAGTTGCTGTTGCATGTTTAATTCAGAAAGTGGTGTAGTGTGGTAGTATGCCAATCAAACAGTAGCCCCTGTTATTCTATTCGAACAAGTGCTTTTTAACCTGCTGCTCTTTGCCCTCTAGGGGACGCTGTTGACTTTCTGTCCTGGTTTCTGAACGCATTGCACGGTGCTCTTGGTGGGACAAAGAAGAAATCATGTGAGTTTTTGTTTTGATGTAGATTTGATTAGAGTACAGGGTGAAATCCGCTCAGTTGATGTGTTTCTCTTTTATAGCCATCCTCACCAAGGTGTTTCAGGGGTCCATGCGAATCTTCTCAAAGAAGCTTCCCCATCCAGATTTGGTAGGTGTCCGCTGGACAGATTCTTACTGATTTGTCTGATTTGTGCATGCTAAATCATTTAAAGGGATAGTTCACCCAAAAATGACAATTACCCCATGATTTACTCACCCTCAAACCATCCTAGGTGTATATGACTTTCTTCTTTCAGACGAATACAATCAGAGTTATATAAAAAAAATGTCCTGGCTCTTCCAAGCTTTATAATGGCAGTGAATGGCTGTTGAGATTCAATAGTCCAATAAAGTGCATCCATCCATCATAAAAAGTGCTCCACACGGCTCCGCAAAGTTAATAAAGGCTGCCTGAAGCAAATCGATGCATTTGTGTAAGAAAAATATCCATATTTACAACTTTATAAACTGTAATCTCTAGTTTCCACTAAAGGGACGTAGGCGTAGCGTAAGCTCCGGTGAGAAGTGACGAACACAGAAGCACAGCGGAGTGAGCAAAACAAAACACCGGTCACAAATTAAAAGTACAAAACATGGATTTGTAAAGAAAAATGTCAGAGGATTTCGATATAAGCCAAGAGGAGACTGGTTTTCCTTTGCTGTAAACAAAACTTGCGAGACTAGCATATTCTCACCAGAGCTTACGCTACGCCTACGTCCTCGGCTGGACGCCACTCTCTCGTGAACGCACGTACGACAGTTAGCGGAAACTAGAGATTACAGTTTATAAAGTTGTAAATATGGATATTTTTCTTACACAAACACATCGATTTGCTTCTTTAAGGCCTTTATTTACACCCCGGAGCCGTGTGGAGCACTCTTTATGATGGATGGATGCACTTTATTGGACTATTGAATCTCAACAGCCATTCACTGCCATTATAAAGCTTGGAATAGCCAGGACATTTTTTAATGTAACTCCGACTGTATTCGTCTGAAAGAAGAAAATCATATACACCTAGGATGGCTTGAGGGTGAGTAAATCATGGGGTGATTTTCATTTTTGCGTGAACTATCCCTTTAACAGTTTAGAAAGACTTTCAGCGTTATTTTTTGGGATTGTTAAACGGTGGTGTCCAACCAGTAAATAGAAAGGACAGAAAAAAATGAGTATTTGCCAGATTCGAGAAATTATTTATTCATATGGTCTCATAAGCTTCCGTGTCTGTTTCTCACAGCCTGCAGAAGAGAAAGAAGCCCTTCTCCTTAAGGACGAGTACCAGGAGAAGATGTCTGAGTCCACCTTCCTGTACCTGACACTGGATCTGCCCACCGCACCCCTCTACAAAGATGAGAAGGAGCAGCTCATCATTCCTCAGGTTCCTCTCTTCAACATCCTGGCGGAGACTGGTTTTCCTTTGCTGTAAACAAAACTTGCGAGACTAGCATATTCTCACCAGAGCTTACGCTACGCCTACGTCCTCGGCTGGACGCCACTCTCTCGTGAACGCACGTACGACAGTTAGCGGAAACTAGAGATTACAGTTTATAAAGTTGTAAATATGGATATTTTTCTTACACAAACACATCGATTTGCTTCTTTAAGGCCTTTATTTACACCCCGGAGCCGTGTGGAGCACTCTTTATGATGGATGGATGCACTTTATTGGACTATTGAATCTCAACAGCCATTCACTGCCATTATAAAGCTTGGAATAGCCAGGACATTTTTTAATGTAACTCCGACTGTATTCGTCTGAAAGAAGAAAATCATATACACCTAGGATGGCTTGAGGGTGAGTAAATCATGGGGTGATTTTCATTTTTGCGTGAACTATCCCTTTAACAGTTTAGAAAGACTTTCAGCGTTATTTTTTGGGATTGTTAAACGGTGGTGTCCAACCAGTAAGCGGATCAGGAGCGGACTGCAAACGCGTCCTGTGCGAAAGCAAAATGAGTTTACACCTTTACTTAGTGATTATTTTACTAGTCTGTTCTAGAGACGTTACAGCTTTTAGATAAAGCTCTAATTGGTTTTCTTTTGGAAATATGTTTCAAATTCACACTGAATGCATTAATGAATGTAAAGCATGTCTGTGTGTGTCAAAATCGTGATTAAAATCGAAATCGCAAAATTGATCAGAAATCGCGATTAATTTTTTTTGTCCATATTGCACAGCCCTAGTGTGGATCCACTTTCACCTTTCTTTCTTTCTTTCTTTCTTTCTCTTTTCTTTTTTCAAATTCTGAATTATCTTTTGTTTGCTTGTTTAATATAATTTTTTTTAGGTTATTTATTAGCAGTGTTGGGAGTAACGCGTTACAAAAGTAATGCATTACAGTAACGGATTACTTTTTGCTGTAACGCAGTAGTGTAAGGTATTACTAATCAATTTTCAGTAATATTTTACTCGGTACATGTTCAGTAATGCATGCGTTTCATGTTATGTGACCATTCATGCTATGCATCATGCTACATAAGACAATAAATAAGATTTATATTCCGCTTTTACTCAAAACTCACTTTAAACCACCATCGAGTGTTTGAAATAACTTCTGGTTGCCGTCTAACAGGGCCGGATTTACGCATTGCTCAAGACATTGAGAAAATAAATATAACAAACAATAGGGTAAAAAATGACAAACTATTTCCATGTCGTCCACCTTTTTTATGTAGGCTACGGAAATCAGGCTTTCTTTCTCCCAGTCTCTCTCACAGACGCACACGCAGTGCAGACACACGGAGACGCGAACAGAAACTTCTTGTCAGCGCTGCACTGCGAATTTATCAGTAAAATAGTTTCGCAGCTGAAAAGCTACATGACATTTCTCAGTAACAAGGTTCATGAAGGAGTTTAACTTAAAGATTCGCTATTAGTAGACGCTGCTG